GCCTCATTTATATTATTTATTTCTTTTAAATGAAGTAGGAAAGATTATAATACTTTGATTTTAGAAAAGAAGCCCAAATACAAATGGGAGCAAAGTCGTTCAGTAAGCATAAATAAAACAATAATAATGTATTGCTCCAGATGGAAGAAACTAGTCTAATCTAGTGTCCTAAAGTGTCTACTTTCCAAATGTCAGCACAAGCGGCACTGATTAGAATCTTATTCAGTAATCTCAGTAGAGAGATCAGGTAGGCAAAGTAAGGACAGGAAATTCTTTCCTCCTGGTTGGTGATCCTGCTAATTACACTAATAGGCAATCTTTTCTTACTGTCATATGATTATCCGGGAGACAGACTATGACGTATTTAGTGAACGATTGCTCTTTTGATTCTGGCGGATCTATGCTGTCATTTTTATGGTGTATTGATCGTTAATTGCAGTGGTCCTGGACTAAGTGAAATCTCTAACAAAACTGATTATTCTCTGCTTGAGAAGTTTACTGTAAATGTAACCATCACTGTGTAGTTTCCAGGGTGAGGCACTCCAGCAGATAGCAGAATAGGCAGGAAAACACAAGGCCTCTGCAATGAGCCAAGTCATTAGGGTTTCCTCAAGATCTCTATGGCTCTTGGAGAATTTTTTAACATATTTTGTGGTGTGGTCTGGTCTTGGATGGAAAGGATAGATGGGAGAATAGGTATACATACTTAAGTGCAAGCATGTAATAAAAGCTCGATCCAAAATGTACTTAAATCTCAATTATTTAAATGAGCATTGTATTAGGACTGTGTTGATTCCTATCAAATAGGATTCAAGTCACCTGATAGCTCTTTGCTTATTATTGCTATTATATATGGAAAATTGTCTACTACTTTCCAGTAAGTGTAAACAAATTATTAGAGTTGCTGGTTTGTTACGTTTATTTTAATATGTCTGTTTGGAGCAAATGATTAGTATAATTTTAGGTGCACGCAACAAATGGTCTTTCTTACATCTAGGGGATAAACTCTGAAAATGGCACAGCGTTGCCACACATAGCTTAAAACTTCAAATCAGAGGCAGTCTGTGTTATAGAAATTATTTGCTTCCCATCTTCATCTTTACACTGTTAAATAGAAAAAGCTAAACAATTTGGCAGAGAGAAGCAATGACAACTGATATAGCTGGAAAAAAAAAAAGGGATGCTTTCAGGCACTTGCTTAAATTCTTAAATTACAGCAACGTTAATGAACTATTTAGCAATGACTTAATATTTAACTAATATAATTAATGTAGAACTAGCCATCGTCCTCATAGAAAAGAGTCAGGCTTAAATGCCTAGTCCGTGGTTTATCCATATAGGGAGTTTTTCTGACAAATTAGTGGCTCCGAATGATGAAACCTCCCTTTCCTGGATCCCTGAGGCAGGGCCCAGCTGGCCATACCTGGAAGCTAGAACCGAGGCCTCCCTAAACAGCGCCGGGGGAAGCGGAGACAAACGCCGTGTTGGTGCGGGGTTGACCAGACGCCTGTGTCCGCTCAAGGGCGGCACCACGGCCCCGCCCGGGCGGGCTGCTCCTGCTTCCCTGCCCCGGGCTAGCGCCGGTTTCCTCACCGGCGGTGGGGAAAG